CCGGTTTACCCACTTGATCATAGCCACTCCCTTTGAGCTTTCGCAGGTGCACTATTTGGCAAATCTACTTTCCAAGGTATCAGTGTATGGTTTATGACATTTGGTTTCTCATGTTCCAGGAACTAATTGTTCGAATAACCAAGGCATGAATGACGAGATAAGAAACCTTTCGTTGACTACGCATAATTATCGCAGGTAATTTCTAAATTTATAGAGAGAAGGCTTTCTCCTGATCACAGTGATGAAATGTGCGTCTTTTAGATCTCGGCTTGCACAAGGGCTGGTCAAAAATAAAAAAGGAAGGAATCTGCCGGAAGCATCCAACATGCTGCAAATGGTATTGTCATCTGATATTCTCATTTATTTCCAACTGAACATATAATCGGGCCCAGGAAAACAAGAACAAAAGTCAGAACACAAAAAGAAACGTCAAAAGAGAACGCCTACCCAACTCCGGATCTCATTAGTGGGCAGAATAATGACTCTCAAAGTAAAATACAGCCAATAATCTGCAATTCTACCTCAGAGTTCCTTTTGCTTCGAATAAAAACCGTGTTTAAGGCTGTATTTTTTATGAGATCGGTAGCCTTTTGAAAACGCTGCTAAGAGGTGTGGTAGTGAATAAAAACTAGGTTAAAGACTTAAAACTCGCAACGCTGAACACTGCTTCCACGTTGATTTCCGCATTGGGCGAGCCTCGTCTGAGCTGACGTTATCAGCGTGAACGCTCCGCTCTACCTCTCCGCCAAAGCGGCTAGATACCGATTGCGTGGGACTAGCGGGTGGGGTAGCCACTTGGTAGGCGCGCATATTCACGGAGAGAATTCGTCTCGGTGAGTAAGACAGGGTGGTCGTCACGAATGCATACTTCGCAGCAGAACCCGACCCCTCCGGCTTTCTAAGGGGTCTGTTTGTCTACATTATAGGTACATTTACGGTTTTCGATCTCCTGTTAATCGCATCACCTGTTTTTGAGTCATCAAGCCCGGGTAAGGCAGCTACGAATGCACCCTTCGCGTCGAATCGCGCCGCGTCCGGCTTTCTGCGGGGTGCGTTTGCTATATTGTAGATACATTTGCCCTTTCAACCTCCTGTTATTGTATCGCGTGTCTTTAAAAATTGGATGAACTCCTTAACAGGCTCAGTAGGTACCTCTCTGCCTCGGGACATGCGACTCTCGACGGGTCCTCGGTCACGAGTAATTCAATATTTAATGTCATGGGCGATTAATAATATACGATTTGGAAATTCATTGTGTATGTAAAACTTCGAGCAAAGCTGAAGATCAAAATGTTCTGTTTCGTTTCGAAACGTTAGACATTTGCAGGACTATGACTGCAACTTGGAAACTACTGCTATGGCATCTGCGAAAACGATGTTCGGTTAAACAAGACCCAACTCTCTCTTCTGGCGTGCAGGAGAATCACTATTTAGTGAGGAAGGACCAAGCCCGTACCAAAGAACAAGCGCTCATAGCTGTAAATTGAATCAGTTCATTCAAACAACACAGCATCATTTAATTAAATACAGCTTTCTAGGGTGTTAAGCAATGGTGGAGCCAAATTAGAGTGACTGGAGGTGTTGGACGTGGTGTCACTTTTACATTGTTCAATGTGGGGAAACCGACCGAGTGGTTCACCAGGGTATGGCTCCTTCTATGAATTTTGCAAACCTATGCAGTTCCTGAAAATGATTGTAATTTCAGATGGCTTGGGCGACCACTCAACATTTGGGTTGTGCCGTTACTTCTTGTGGGAATAGCCATTGGTCCGTAGTGTGCCACTACAAGCCTGGGTTGGTTGCATTTGGGTTAATAAGTGTGGCCATACCCTGGACCTCTCGCTCGGTGTTGTACGTGAGTTTCCTACAACGATTCGTTCTCAGCAGCCATTTCTCAAAGCTATTATCTAAGAACGTGCAATGGTCCACATAGACAACGCTTTCAAATCCCAAATGCCGATATTTGTGGACGGTTATGCAAGACGAATTTGGCATCAAATACTGCTTTCAGGTAAATCCTTCACTTAACAACAACTTATAGTTTGAGCAAGAAAAATGTTCGTTAACATCTTCTGAGTTAACTAACTAATATCAATCATCCGGCCGAAGCTGGCTGGAGGGGCCATTTGCGTATGTTGATTCCAAGAACCAACCACTAAGCTATCTAACAGCGCGTTCGGTAATGTTCGCTACTGGTTCTACAAATTGGGCACTTCCACAACGTAGAAGAAGAGCCTGTGTTTTCAGTGTTTGACTTCAATCCCTTTTTACTTGCTCATTTTTACTTCATTCTGCACTCCCACCTTCTTATCGAAAGCAACTTCCCATTCACTTGATCATTCTTGCTTTGAGGGCTAGCGGCGCAAAAGGTATTTGGCGCGTCCCAATGTGAAACACATGAGGAAGCACCGCATGCAAATCTCCCATATCGCAGCGCCTAGCCGGTTCATCTACCAGTGTCGTAGGTCATACTGGTGAACGACTCACTATAATATTAGGTACCGGATATCTGCTTTTCGTTTCGGGAAGTTTCGGGGCCGATTACTATGGAAAATCAATATCTCAGAAAGTCCTTTTTGCTCATTAATACTGCGAAATATGTTGCTTATTGTTTTCTAGTTGGTTCACAATTTTAACTTTCCCCCAATTTTTATACTTTTTTTTGAAAATTCCTGGGTCCAGTGTGCAAATTCGCATGTGTGTACCAAATGCTTCAAAATTCTTGCTGAGAGCTACAACTTCCGCCCACCAAACCAACATTGCATTGTTGGAGGGAATACTACCATTTAAAATGCTCATCGGTTTTTCACAGTTTTCTCAAAACAGTGAAGTCTTTGAAGTGATGCCCGCAACCGTCGTCAAAAAGGTGGCCCTAGCTAAATCAGTCGAGACGGGGCTGCACCAGTCTTGTGCTGGAATGGTAGGACACCTTAGCAGTTACTGATCGATGATGCACAAACGCTTTAACGAAGTTGATTGCACAAGAAATTCTAATAAATGTGCTCATCTGCTACTCACGTGTGCTCAAAAAGGGTGCGTTTTTGACCCTATGTGGCAAAAAAGACTCCGGGAAAAATTGTCCAGTTGAGCTGGTAAAGTTATAACTTTTCCACCATACAGTGCAGACCTTACTCTAACTAACTGTATACTTCTTTTGTCCAGGCCTAACTTTTTAGCAAGTGAGAGGGATGATTTGTCAGATGATGTCAAAACCGACCTACCTCTCTTTTTCGACTCAAAAAATTCCTAGCTTTAATCGTACGAGGTTTCCACTCATACTGGTAAATGGGAAGAGTCATTCGATGAATATGAATATGCTGTTTCACTCCCCGGATTCTGAATTAAAATATTTGGTGGTCCGAAACTCGTGGTGAAAAAACGACACTAAGATATCCGGTACCTAATATATGAGGCTCAATATATTGTCATGGCGTCGGGAAATGGACGTGAGGTTGTTATGTTCTCTCCCTCCCTATCTCCCCTTTGGATACACAATGCTCTCGTAATGTCGCTGTCTGACTCGAGTGATCAATTAATCCTTCGACTCTGTTATCTAAATAATGCTCTCATTAGGAAGAAAAAACATCGAATCCGATCCGTTATCGCTCGGTGTAACGCATTTCACTACATGGGTTCTTCAGAGGTTCGGCGGACCCACAGGAATGTTCTTGTACAAACTTGAGTGAAACACTATTGCTGAACGAGCTGGGTTAGACCACTATAAGGTGAGCGAACCGACACATATGGTAACACTCTAAAAATAGCAACCCGGGAACATCCACAAATAAAATCACAATAAGGTCCACAAGCAGAGCAAAATTACTTGCTTAAGTGAGAATTAACAAAAGTCAATGTGTGTGCAAACATGGCAAGACATAACGCGACGTAGGAGCCGACGGCTGTAGCTTTCTGGACAAAAGGCGCTTTAGTTCAGGCGCCCTAGGGCGGCCACCCCTTTACTCCGCCTCCGCCGCCCGAGCTCCGCCCGAGCTCCGCCCATTAGTGTGTGGCTAGCAGCATCATTGCTCATATCATTTGGATGAATATTCCACTTCCATGTGTACCGTATGACATTCTCATAAAGTGCTTCATCAATCAAAGCATGGCGTTCGCTGGAATGATAGCAGCTATAGGTTTAACACATTGACGACCGCGCGCGTTTTGGCTTTTTTGGCCGTGTGGGACCGGGCCGATTTTGCGAGTGCGACCGCCGCACCTCGGATCCGTGAATTTTTATTGATAACTTTTTAAAGCACCAGTGGTACAAAAACATCTCAGTAACAGTCAATGCGTAGAAGGTAATAGAGTATATAGTGACGAAGTTCCGATTAAAGAACATGTAATGGTAATGAAAAAGGAAATTTTAGTCATTTTATCTGTAGTGGATGCCAAAAGCTCTTTTGATGTGGTTATACCAAGTGAAACATGTATTTTTCTGTCTCTTTAGATTTGCATTTACTTTCACTACCCTTTTTTATTGACGTGTTCATGAGAATAGCATGAAAACTATTAATGAACCAAGCCGCCGGTTTCGGTGAGCTTGGAAAACTTCTTCTAAACTGGAGCATATTTGAACAAACAATGACCTATGTCGTTCACAATAATGTTATGTTCTAATCCATAGAAGAGAGACAAACAATTCGGGAAAAAGCTGCGCATGCCCTAGAAAAAGGGATGATAAGGGTGAGACGCGGTAACGCGTCTCAATGTCCAACGAGGTGCGCAAAGTGAGACGCGTTACCGCGTCTCAATGTCGTCAATGTGTTAAAACAAAGAAATTCTTCAGTTGGTTGCATAGCTCGTCAAAATAATTACGATCCAAACGGGCAAAGAAAAGGCCCCATTTTGGCGTATTCTTAATGGGCTTTCTATTACTTTTTTGCCACCGGGGCATTATTGAGCATCCACACTTCCACGATGAACCCAATTCAATCTTACCTCAATCTCTCGCTTTAGGTGCACATTTTGGTTGTGGGCTACTGCACCCAAAAATCAAAGTAGTAATTGGCTAATCATCAAATGAGGAACTAGACCGCCAAAAATCGTTGGAAACGCACTGCTTTGTGTGGGCGGGTTCCGCTCAGCCGCTGTCGGCCATCTTAACCCTTTGCGACAATGGCTATTGGATGCACCTAAAATTTTCTTCATTACCCATTTAAAACATTTTCAACACTATCAGTAATCAAAAGCAAGCTCCGTTACGTCTGTTTTTAGCATATTTTGTCAAATGTTTGTTACTTAGCTAATTTATATTGAAATTTTAGGATATGGCACATCACTCGGCGATGTATTAACTATAAAATGCATAAATGAACATTATCATAAAAGGATCATAAAATGACGTCGACTCAGGCTTTACAATTACTAAGCATAAGAATGAATTAACATGATTCAGGACCTCTCCGTCTGTTTACCAGTCTAAAACCATGGAGAGTATTGACTATATCAAAAACGATCTGTCATAACTTCTAGACTTTTCAAACACCATCTCTTTTAAATCCGAGATTTTTTTCCAAACTCCACTTCTAATTCCAACAATACATGATCATAAAGCTTAAGACCGCAGTCATATTTTGTTTATTGTCATAGTCAAAATTTGATAGAAAAACCGCTTTTAGGGACAATTTTGCCCCATTTTGTGCGAGAGTTGGGCGCGCCAAAAAGAGGCGTGGTCCCATGGAACACGCTACGTACAAATCCGAATTGTCGTCAAAGGGGTAATGGCCAGATTCTCCCATTTACCATATCATAAAATGAGTCGGCCAATAAGAATCAATTCAAGAGAGGCTCATTTGAACCAAACAATCTCTCTAGGCTTTTACAGATTCGCGAACTCAACATGTATGAGGAAGGCGATTGCACACCATTTGGAATGCATTTACGGCAATCTTTTCCAATGTACGAAGAACGTGGAACGAATGTAAGGAGACCAGCAATTACGAGCACCGATTGGAGCAAGTCAGGAAATTCAACAGGTTCGATCTCAATCGTTGGCGTATTTTGCATGTAAAAGTTAAGGCTACAACATAAAAATTGAGTCATCGCCGCTAGATGGGCTGTGAATACCGTACATGTCACAAGTTGTATACAGCGCGTTTCAACACAATTTAGACAACTGCTAGTTTTGGCTTTTGCCACAGTGGACCGCTGCGATTTTGCCAGGCCGCTCGCCTTCAGTCCTGAGGCAAAGGTCGACGTTTCAGAACGCTAGAGAAGTAATTCCCGTGCCTGGAGGTTGTATGTGGGTAGCTGCACACATGCAGCAACTTCCCACCTTGAAAAACGTCGTTAAGCCCCGGGCCGTCGGTTTCAATCCGGGACCGCCTCGTCAATCCGGGACCGCCCACCTCCGGAAGTGGTGCGTGGCTGGCATAACGTGTGAAATCAGCTAGGTTGATTGCCGTATCAACCGATAGAACGACTGACATCTCCAGAAAACTTGTTTGTACGTGCCTCTTCCCCCAAGCCAGCCTCCTTCACTGCTAGGGAAAGAGGGTTTTGTTAACGGCCTTGTCTACGGTTTTTCTCAGTTTTTTCACTGTCGTTCCACTTCGCATCTCTTACCAGTGATCTCAAAATACCCTAATGAGACCGACTTTTCGTTTAAGCAGATTTCGAATGATAAATACACAACCAATGATCAATTCAAAAATAAGTCAGTAAATAGTAAGAGCGCAAACTAGCCGGGGGTACAGTAGTAGAATTTCGATCGGAGGAAATGGAGTAGCAATGAAAAAGTGAAAATGGTCAGAACTAGCTGCAATAGACCTCAAAAGCAATTTTACGTTGCTT